TAGTTCAGGAGTTGCTTTGTTGTGGCCTGGTGCCAGCCTCTGGATGCGTTGGTTTCATGGCCCTTTGAGAGGGGATCCCCAGTAGGTCAAGGTCAGTCGCTGCTTTTGATTGCTCAGGGCTACCTGATGGGAACTACAAAGAGATCCATAGATGATTGTTGCCTATGCTGGATCTTTAGGTAAGTGGAAGAGATAACTCTGTAGGCTATGGTCCAGTTATCCCCCGTCCCTTACCTAGGGCAGTTTAGCAGAGGGACCAGTGCTCCTCCAGGTTTGACTCTGTCTGTCAATTGCCCATAAGTCTCTGAAACTGGAAGAGCCTCTGGGTGATATGTGTGTTGGGTGGCACAGAGACCCCGGGAGTCTACTGGGTCTATTGAGTAAATTTCCCCTGCCACTGCAGTGTCAGTTTACAGGCCAGCACTGTCTCTATGGCTCCCTGTATAGGTTTCTAATCGTAGCAAGGTCAGCTGCTGCCTACTTTGGGCCTGAATGTGCCACCCTAGGGCAGGAGTAGGTGCCTATCAATGTACGGTGGGCACTTTGTGTATTGGATGGGGCAGGAGCTCAGGGAGACAAGGGCTGCCAGGCCAATACAGACCCCATGATCCCCTCGTATTGAGAGATATTGCAGCTCGTACAGGCAACAGTAGTCTGCCCACAACTGTTTTCCCTGATATGCACTCACTGAGCTAGCCAAGTTGTTTTGCCTGCACAGACTGCTCAACTCCAGAGCCTTGCAGGGCATGGGAAGGTGCTTGTCAATGGGCTGAAGGCACTTTGTGGCTTGGGTGAAGTGGGATCTGAGGGAGACAAGGTCTGACCGGCCAATACAGCCTCAGCTTTGCTGCAACTTCTGTGCTCAGGTGTTCCTGCTGTAGTCATAGATCATAGTGAGACCAGCTGCCATCTGTGGTAGTCCCACAGACTCCTGTGCTCCCCAGACGCAATATTGCAACTCTTGTTGGCAGCAGAGGTCTGCCTGCAACTGATTTCCATGCAATGCCCACTCTGTGCTAGCCAAAGTTTGTTTCCTATGTGGATTGTGAGACTTGGCGGGGAACAGAGCTGTGTCAGTTCACTGTTAATGGGACACCTAGGGCAATTTGTGGGTAAAGTGGGGCAGGGTCTCAGGGAGACAATGGCAGGTAGATCAATACAGCCTCAGTCTTACTGCAATTTCGGTAACCGTTTGCACGTTCTGGCAGAAGTCCCGGATCACAGCAAGATCAGCTGCTGTCTGGGACTGGCCCACAGAACCCCGAGATCTGCCCAAGTTCACGTTGTCAGCAGTGAATGATCTTTCTGCAACTATCTTGGAAATGTGTGATCACAGCACTGGCCACCAGCTGCAAATTCTTGGCCCTGAATCAGCGCAGGGAATGGCAGCTATCCAGTAACAAAAGCCCCAGGCAATCTGCAAGTTAGCCTGATCTCCTGAGTCCAGCAGCTTCCTAATGGCCCTTTGGAAGGGGTTTGCGCAGACAAGCTGGCATGGTCTGTAGATTGCCTGGTGGGCTGGACTAAGGCACAATGGTGGCTGCCTTTCCAGCCTCATTCTGGCGCCAGGTAGTGCAGACTTTCTTGGTATGAATCCCATGTGAGCCTCTGACTGTGGGTCCCAGGCCTGGCTGTGATCCAGGCTTTCGGCTAGGAATAGGACCTGGATTTAGAATGTTACATTAGTGTAGTAGGGCGCCTGTGCCTAAAATATGTAAACATAATTCAGCTTATTGTATCATGCACGTGTGGCTGAAGGCCACTATTGTGCTCTAATATATGTGGAGCCATGAGGTCCCCTGTGGAGCAGAAGGAGAGCACAAGACGGGGAGCAGAAGGGGAGCAGAAGAGCAGAAGCAGAAGCTCACTCCTCGCAATAGATTGCACTTCTTGCAACAGAAGTGCGCTCTCCACAATAAAGTTGGTGCCTGCCATTTCCTTCTCATGTCGGCCTCTTGTGCATTCTTCCAACTGGGCGTCTCACCACCGAAACCTTCCCTTCTTGATCAGCTCAGTGCTGACACTGACCCACTGCTGGTGTCCCGGGTGAGTGTCTGCAGGTCAGAAAGCCTGTGCATGGGTCCTTCAAAGGGGCATCTAGGGTTTCATTCTCCTTCTGTCTCATCCAGATGGCCGGAATCCATTCTGGTTTTTAGTCAGAGTTATTGGAATCTCCTCTTCCCTGGTCTGGAACCCTGGGCCCCAAATGAGGTCAGGACTCCCCTCTCCTTCGGAGGGCCTCTGTAGCCTCACTATTCCTCCTGGCGATCATCCACCACCTGCAGGCAAGGAACCAGCCTGATTCATAACTTTGCCATAGGCTTCGTGGTGGCTCTTTTATATTATCAGACGTAAGTATTTCCATCGGCTGGACTTCAGGTGATTTTCCACGCTGATTATTTTATAATTTGGTTGTAAATTCAATACAGACCTAGGAGGACATGAACCCTGATTTTACCTAGTCTACCATCTTCCCACAACTCTCCTGTTCTACACTTTTATGATCCAAGCTATCCTTGCCAAAGGTGAAGTGTCTTACCTTGGTTTTTTTTTTTTTCCTGAAGTGTGTAAGTGTGTTGGGCAGCTTGAGAGAGGAAATGGAGTCTTATTCATTCAGTATTCTTATCTTGTCCACATTTACCCACCAAGTATGGAACACAAGTCTGAGGAAAGGGAGAAATGGAAAATCCAGGATTCAAGGCACCTTTAAAGCTGGGGATCTCTCTGATACCTGCCCTGTCTGTAAGACCAGCCCTAGTCTCCCAGACTTCTGGCTTGAATAATTACTGGTTTATCATTTATCCTCTTCAGAATCTGAGCCCCTTCTTTCCTTCTATTGGGTTTTTCTGTCATCATTTCCTTCTTGGAATTTACCACCTCCAATCCCACTCTTTTCCTTCCTTCTTTCCTTCCTTCCTTCCTTCCTTCCTTCCTTCCTTCCTTCCTTCCTTC